CGGCCCCGGCCCCTGACAGGATTTTCCTCACCGTGGCTTTGAGGAGCATCTCGGAGCAGGGGGGGGCTCGTAGGTGGTCAGGGGCGACCCGAGGCCGCGGGGTCGTGTCCCCCCATCCGAGATGGGGTGGTGGATGGAGGAGGAGGGTGGAATAGAGCGTGTGTCGTTACAGGGGACTGGCGAGGGGGCTCGTCTGCAGTGGGGTTGTTGGGGAATGTGGCTTCAGTCCGGGAAGGGTCTGTAAATGCTGAAATCTCCACCGCTGGAAAGCACAAATGTCTTCAGCTGCGACTCCATCTTCATTCTTAATAGGAAAGATGGAGGTGTTTAATTTGGCCAGTATCTTATGTTGATGTACTGCAGCTAAAATAGCCCTTCTCCACAAAGCTAGATCTGTTCCAGAAATAGTTGTGTTTCCTCGTTTATTTGTTTATTCGGCTTGTTTTCTTAAGCCCCAAAATAGAGGCAACGTGGAGAAAAAAAAAAAAAGCTCTTAAGATACTGTCAGAAAACAAGTCCTGCTTTGGAATTGCTTGTTGGTCCTTAAAGCTGATTTCAGGCTTCAGTGGCTTAGATAGATGTACAGATTCTGGGTTTGGTCCGTGCATTCTTAATATAACTTCTGCTTTCCTTCACTGACATTACTTTTTGGGTTTCAGTTCACAGAAATGATGTCAATGGATATATCTGACAGTGCTCAGATCTATGCTGCCTTTGTGGTATACCTGGACCTCTTAGAAGGTAAATTCAATGAAGTGACTGGATTGACACCTCAACAGATATGTTTGCCTTCAGGTGCTGTTAAAGTTTGTGTCCTAGTAGGACCTTTTCTACAAAGTCCTTGGTGTTCTTTTTGAAACTTCATGCGGTGATAAGTACCCTAAGAAACAGATGGTGTTTTGGTGCTGAAGATTTCTATCCTGTGCCTACCTGGAGCCTTTACAAAAAGATTCAGACCCATTTTATCCAGCAGTTACAGGTGTAGGCACTCCAAGGGGAAAGACACTTGGCATGGGGGAAAGAAAAAAGCAAAAGAGGAGTGAGGGAAGGAAAAGAAACATAGAAAGGTGAAGTTACAAGTTCAGTGGTTATGCTGGTAATAAGAGTCCTCATTTGTAGATTAATGTCAAAGTTCTGAAACTGTAGGGTTACTGTTTAGCAAATGGCTGATGTGTGCTGGCCTGATTAGGATGCTGTTATCTGGAAAGGGCAAGGATTCCTATAGGAAAGAAGATAATTTGGAAATCAGGTGGCAATAATTATGACAAATGCAGTGTAGTCGTTTGCTGTCTTGTAAGAGTGGAGCAGAGTTATGTGATATATAAACTTCTGCCTGTGATTCTTCCAAGCTGGCTTTATTGAAGAGGGATTGTGCGTGGGCAGGCAGCCAGCCTAATAAAAATACTTCAGTTTCTCTTGGAGGCTGGTGGTTCTCAAGGTCAGGGAAGGGAGGGATGTTCCAGGCCAGAAAGCACTGCGTCTGTTATTGTTACACCTCTGAAGAAAATGCCTTAATAGGCTGTAAGAGAAGGCTCCTGTAATTCTGCAGCAAAAACTTTTAACCTTATCCCTTCAAGCAGAAGAACAGAACTGTGTATTGCCATTAATCATGCTTTTAGCACCTGGTCCTTCACAGTTCAGGGTACTGATATGGTCTGAATTTGGATTACAGTTTTATGCTGCAGATGACTAAATCTTCTTTTTGCCTTTTTGTAAAGAAAGCTTTGTCAGACAGATCCCTATTCACCATCGCTCACTGTAGCTCTGCAGTCAGCAGACTAGTGCTGCTCCCGTGGTTTGGTTTTCTTTTGTTTTGTTTTTTAACAGGATTGTTTCTCAGAAGGGGAACTTGACAGTTGAATGGGGTAGTTGTCTCTCATGGGAAATGTCCTCTGAGGAGAGGGAGGGAAAATAGAACCAAAGATGTTAACTTAAATCCCAAACCTGATATTTGAATGATTCAAACTTCTGTTTTGTGTTCTGTTCCTTCTCATTGATGATGAACCTTTCTAGGGAGAAACTGGCATGAAGTGAAGCACGTCGGAGTAGCAGAACTGCAGCTCATATGTTTACACGCACGTGAAAGAGAACAGGACGGTCTCCAGGTGATGGTGCCGGTACCTGTGCACATATCATTAAGCCATGAGAGGTGAGGATGTGGTCAGTGTTTGGCTCACATTACCGATAAGATAAATGAAGAGCTGATACATTTAACAGGCTGCTGATGACTTGGTCAAGAGGGGAAGAGGGAGGAAACAAAGGGAGTATTAGAGGAAAGCAATATCTCAGCCTGTGAGCAGAGTTAATTTTGGGTGCTGCAAGCATGCAGGCAAAGTTGAGGTTTCTTTAATTTCTAAGCTGCATTGATCTCTGCTTCTCCCTCTCTGAAAGTGGTACACCTTTGATGTCAGCTTCCCACAGCAGCTGACTCCTCCTGCTCATAAACACTTCATATTGTTTAGAAGTTGCTTATGCTCTGGGAGACAACAACGGATATCAAAGTATGTGTTTGAGAGACAGGGTTGGAATGTAAGACCTTCACAGCTTATGTTTTGAACATTCTTGTGCTGCTTTTTTGTAGTCTGAGAAATCTAGCAATACTTTTTGTGTCACTGAGCTTTAAAGTACCTAAGAGTACTTTAGAAATCCTCTCAGACCTGTCTAAGAATAAACTTTTTTTTTTTTTTTAAAATAGTCCAATGTATGGATAAGCCTGGTGTGCTTGGTTTTTGTTTTGAAAATATAATTTGGCTACTTTCAACTGGAAATTTCTTGTACTTACCTGGAGTCTAATGTCCTTTGAGCTATGATTTTGACTTACTTTCCTTACATAGAATCCCAGACTGGTTTGGGTTGGAAGGGACCTTCAAGATCATCCAGTTCCAACCCCCCTGCCATCAGCAGGGACACCTTCCACTAGACCAGGTTGCTCAAAGCCTCATCCAACCTGGCCTTGAACACTTCCAGGGAGGGGGCATCCACATGTGCAAGACTAAGTAATTCTTAAGCAGAGGACAACACAGCTATGACTTTGTGATATTACAGATATTTCCAGCCTAGAGAAATTCTGCTTCAGTAATTTTACAGTAATTTATATTTTAACTGACCCTTAGAGAAGCCTCAAACACACTGTATGATTTACTCTCTGATAATGGCTGCCTTCTCTTGCTGGTATTTTCCATTCTTTCCTGTGATGTCTCTGAAGACCTAAACTGTTTCAGCTGCATTGTATAGTCGTACATTCTTCAGTTTCTTCTGTTCCTCCTCTTGCTAGGAGCGTGTGCTCAGGGCTGGCTTTACAGATCTTGCTAGTGTTTGCTGTTTCCTCTTGGAAACAGGCAGCAGCCTGACACAGTAGTAGGTAGCTAATGAATTGCACTTACACAGAATCCCAGAATTGCCCAGATTGGAAAAGCCCTTTAAGATCATCGAGTCCAACCATGAACCCAACACTGACAAGTCCCCAACTAACCCATGTCCCTCAGCACTGTGTCTACACGACTCTTCAGTCCCTCCAGGGATGGGGACTCCACCACTGCCCTGGGCAACCCCTTCCAATGCCTCAGAACCCTTCCAGCAAAGAAATTCTTCCTCACATCCCATCTCAACTGCCTTGGGCACAACTTGAGGCCATTTCCTACAAGTGTGTGTGCTCTAGGAGTGATGTTTTGGACATGCTATGGTTTGTGCTTTTTTATTTTTAGGTTATAGAAGTGACAGGTTGGTCTCTTGCAAACAGACTTCCACCTTAATTCTGCTGTATTTTCTTAAGAGCATATTTGTGAGGGGGGAAGAAAATGACTTGGTAGATATTGATGGATTTGAGCACTATCTATGTGCTGAAAAACATCTTCCATTTGCAGATATTGATTAATCACTCTTGTGGGCTTGGTCTTGTGGTGTGATCTCCACAACAGAGGAAATCTACTGAGAGGTCTTGCAGGATGACATGCTGAGTGTCATTTGGCTTCTCTGCAAGAAGCAGATCACTGTATGTGTTTAAAACTCACTGCTATTCACAATTTGAACTAGATTTTTGCTGGAGAAAGAGAGCAGCAAATCAGGATATGGGATCTTTGAGAAATTACACCTACATGCTGAGTTGTTGTGCTTGTTTAACGTAGTAAGTTTCCACCTAGGTTGGAAACTGTGATTCCTGGCATTGGATCAACGCCAGCCAGTATGTTCTAATTGGCTTTTAATGACAGTGGGATATTGCACTGCATAGATGTCCTATCTTTTACTGTTTCATTGGGGCTTTTCATTTGGAGCCTCTGAACTTGTTTGTACTGTGGTGATACTGTTTGCTCTGCTCCTGGCAGCGCTGCGGATGGAATCCATTACTGGAAGGATGTGTGTTAGAGGAGCAAAGAGTGAATGCATCACATTGATTGAAAATACAGTTTGTGACTAGGTTTTGCTACAGAGCAACTACACAGAGCGTGTTGTCACTGAAATGAGCTGAATACCGGGCTGTCATGTCGGATGAGTCCGTTAAAGCGTGTATGTGCTCGATACCCATAGATGTTGTCAGGCAGGAAGATCATATCTGCTTGTATTTGTGTTATTGAATGTGCATGTGCACATGCACACTTGGCATTTCATTAGCAGGTCACCACTGATCAGAGGGACCTGGTCTGTCTTGGTAGAGAAAGCACAGCACCAACTCCTCAGCTCCTTGGCTGGAACAGCAGGCAAAAACCAGGGGGGTTACAGTAACTGGAGCTCAAAGTTAGGTAGAGGGAGGCTGTTAAAAAGACATCTCTCAAAGCCACTTCACCCAAGCTCTGCCTTCCCAGGTGTCTCCTGAAGATGCCTGCTTGGCAGAGGTGTGTGTCCTTGAAAGGCCGTAGTAAAGTTGCTGTGGAAGTTACCAGCAAGACATCTAAGTAAATAAAACATACGAGTCCCCTACAAAAAAACCCCCAAATAATCTGCTCACTGTTTTTTAGCCTCTTAGAAGATTTCCTCATGTCCAGTTTATGTGTGACAGTTAACTGCTTCAGGCAAGAGCTGTTGTGCTTGCTAAGCTCACTGTCCATTTCTGCAGACAGCTTGAAGGAAGCTGATGGCCCTGCCCTGCCAGTGTGAGCTGCATGGTGACTCCTGGAACAGCACAATTACAGGATCTGGAGCAAAGTGCCCACCAATGCCAACTGCAGTCTTGTACAGTCTGAGAAGTGGCTTCATGCTGTGCATGTCTGCTCTTAAAATGAAGATGGCTGAACCTTGTGTGAGGAAAGACCTGGAGAATAAAATGCAATTTATGTCTGTCTTGGAGCACTCTCTCAACCACACACAGCTGGCTGAGGTTTGGAGAACCTTGTGTTTGTACACCTTTGAATTTAGCAGTGATTGATACTTCCAGGAGGAATTTGTAGGTCCATTGGTTGGGATGTTTGCTGTTCAGTACTGCAGGTGACTGAGAAGCTGAACACGAGCAGACAA